GTTTATCGTCAACTTTTTATTTCAATTTGTTGTTATCTTATCCACTGAGTGAAATGAATTGTCAAAGAAACAAACGATAAATGGAACTTGTTCAGGTGCAATCGATGTAATCGTGGTTGAACAGCCAGACGGCACCTTAGTGTCGACTCCTTTCCATGTTCGTTTCGGTAAATATGGGGTTTTTACGAGCAATGAAAAGGTACGTGTTCCAGTTCTTGCTTCATCATTTTTGTCGATAATCAATCACAGATAATGAGCTGCCTATTGATGACATTTCTTATATTCTGTATCGTTTGCATGGCAGTACTTGGCCATTAATTAATGACGACAACATAAATTAAGTATGTGGATGTCACTGTGAATGGTGAAGAGATCGATCTGAAAATGAAACTCGGTGAGAATGGAGTTGCTTTCTTTGTTGAGGAAACCGAGGATGCGGACGTTCCAGAATACCTGGTCACCAGTCCATTACCGTCGGAAGGTCGTGACATTGACATAACAAAGGTGAGCTTGATGCCATTTCGTCATTTATCTGCATACATTTGATAATTCATCAAAGTTATATTACTTACTAGTTCGTCTGTTTCGCAAGTAACTGTCTCATTTAGCAATATCGACTCAATATGATCATTTTCATTTTCATGTAGTAGCTTAAAAGAAACATTAATTATTGTTCTGTTATTGTAATATAAATCATAGAAGCATGCTTCTATACTACGTATTGAATTACTTCATCATTCGTCTCATGCATATTGAAATATTACTTCAGTGCGATCATCTGAATTGAATAATTTGTTTGAAACTGTTTGCTAGGGTCAACTTATATTCACTCATCATGGTGGATGCTTTGAAAGCATTCATCTTCATTCTGTAGGATCCTCTAATTTGATATATTTCAATTTTTTGAGTGCCATTACGATGTATTCTCCTTAGGTTTTGATCAACTTTTTAATGGAAGGGAATGAATATGAACGTCTATTCAAGGTGATTGAACAAAGTGTAAGGGCACTGGAGGAACGACAAAAGCGATACAATAGTCGTTCGGCGAACAAACNTCACTTCATCATTCGTCTCATGCATATTGAAATATTACTTCAATGCGATCATCTGAATTGAATAATTTGTTTGAAACTGTTTGCTAGGGTCAACTTATATTCACTCATCATGGTGGATGCTTTGAAAGCATTCATCTTCATTCTGTAGGATCCTCTAATTTGA